TCATACAATTAAGGCTGCTTCTCCCCAAAGTAACATAGGAAAATTTTCGAGGCTGCAGAGCGATGTATAATATATTGGATCAGACAAAGATGACGTGTTAACTCGACAAATAAGCTCAATATACGATAGAGGCACTATTAGTGCATACATTAGCTGCTATCCTAGAAAAGTCATTTAAATTTCAGTTGAAACATTCACCTTGTCAAATTTATCATGCAGTACCCCTGTCAAGTTGACATTCATATGCGATTGAACGTTTTTTTTAGTCTCTCCTTTTAAGTGGAATATTCTAATTTCAATGAATAAACTCAATGAAAGCTGGACAAAATGTCTTTCGAAAAAATTAAGAAAAAATAATAAATAGGCTTAACAAAATGCCTTAAAACCAAACTTCTGAGCAACAAAATAGAAAACGTAATCGATTACAAAACAGATTCACATATACATTAACTAGACGAGTAACGGTGTATAAAGGACTGGAAGATCCCTTATAAGCCATAAATTGTGTTCGGATATGAGTACTAGGCGAGAAAACGGTAGTTAGAAGAGACAATGCGAGTGAGCGCCAATTAACGAGGCGCTGAGTATCACGCGATGTAATGTTAGCCGTGCGACGATTAGAAAGCCACGCGAGGCGAAAACGACGGCAGTTGCCGGTCGCGCACCATCGAGGCAAGACGTCTCGCATGCTCTACTCGAACGAGGCTAGGGCGCCGCAGCTTAAAGCGAGAAAGTTCAATCAAGTTTTGGTGAGAGAAGAAAGCTCCTCCTCACGATTCAAGGCCAGGGCGCCTTCAGGTGGGTAAGCTGGGCTTACTCTTGGGCTTTTCCTTTGCATCACACAAAGTAAAAGTTCTATCAAGTTAATAAGCAAGAGTTTACGTCGGCTTTTGTCACAAGGTAAATTTGTTAAAGTTTACCTCATGGTTCGCTTTCTCGCTGTTGTAAGACACCGCTAATTGTTACATCTAATAAATGGCCAAGGACCGGAAATTAACCTATTATAAGTTACCTTATCAAGCATAGTGTCGTTAATAATAAAAGAAGTGAGCTTTCCAGTATAAGAATAAAATTATAAGTGAATTTTCTACAACGAACAGTGACATTTAAACTATATTAAACTCGAAGCCTTTTGGCGTTGTTTCGGCAGCTATAGCATGGTTAATAAACTATCTTTTAATTTTTCTTTTGTTTTTATTTACTACTAAGTTTAATTTAATATTTTCGATAATAACTTAGTGAGTGCAAAGTTGAAAAGGAGTGAAATTTCGGAGCATTTGATAATTTAGTTTTCGCTTAAAATTGTAATTCCGTCAAAATAAAAACATTGGTTTCAGAGCTTTTGATACAAAACTAATCTTGTAATAAGAAACTTTGATGTATTAAAGATTTAATTTTTTTATAACAACAGTGCTGTGTAGAAGAGTTAATTAACCGGCCTCTCAAATCTCGCAATCCGGCTTCCTAACAACAAACAACCAACAGTTAATTTTACAGTCCACTCGACGTATTTGAACAAATTGATCACTCGCAACCAAGAACACTCAAACTCTTTACTAATAGGTGAAGTTAATAAATTCCTCTCACCAGTTTACCACCTCCATCACTCAAAGTACAAAACTGGTTGACAAGAATCTATATGAAAATGAAAAAGAACCTTCTGTAGTCTGCTACACAGCACTCAAATACCACAGTAGTCACTGATAACAAAGATGACGTAAAGGAGCACATTTTAGACATGCAAGACTGCGGTAGGCTAATCAAGCTCTCGATTAAAGACCCTTTATCGACTACACCACCACTAATCTCTCTAGAAAACATTAAGCAGAGTCAATCACCACCCACATCAGGTGATACTAACCCACCAACCCCACTGCACTTTCGTCAGATACAATGGCAGAAACAGTTCTCTTTGAAGATACCTTACAAATAGTTCCTGAATTAAGGGGCCACAATATCTTTCTATGTATGTATCTCGTGGAATATGATGAATCGAAAAAAATGGTGATCCCTTACGACCAACCAAATAAAACAAAGTGTGTTAGAAGTGAATTGATTGAAAAAGCAAGAACAGCCATCCCCAAAATCTAATTTATCACTCTTGTACACTAAAAGTGCACATCAAAACGCATTTAAAGTAAACATCAAAAGATATAGTTCATTGTAAAAGACTTTTTCAAGTTTCAGAATTTTCTAGTCATTTCTTGAATGAAACCTTGAAAATGTTTCATTCCCAGATAAAAAATACTAGAAATTTTAACTATGCCATGTAGTTACCGGTATTACCGTATGCTTTCGCATTATCAGTAGCGTTAAGCTCGTTAGAATAAATTTCCTTTAAACCACGGCATTTTACCGTCATTCTTTCATGAAAACATTTAAATTATTTGATTTTAAAAGACAAAAGGTATGAGAACTTATTACTATTGTATGTACCAATTGATATTACTGAATATATTTCAACTGGAATAATACACTAACTACTGGAAGAAATAGGCAACAAATATTAACACAATTAAGAGACAGTAATGGAATACGCTAGTTGACTGAATGATTTATAACAACAAATCACTGAAGTTAAGAGGCTATAGGACGATGCCCTAGTTCCAGCAACTTGCCTCACTTCCTTATAACAAAAATGTACTCTAAAGTTTTAAAAATAGTCCTAAACTAGAAATAAAAACTAAACTTGCTGTTGCAAGTAATAGATCGTGATAAATATGGTGAAAGAGGCTATCCTGATAAAGGAGCAATTTAACTACAAATATTTCTATGCAATCAAGAAATTAAACGTGAAAAAACAATGGAGAAAAAGCGTTATGCCGTGTTTTGTAACGAGAGCTAAAGGCTCTGCCAAATCTTTCTGATACGCAAAAATTCATCTTGGGCAGCGAGAGCCCCTTTCTTCTGATGAACTGTTAAGTGCTACTCTAGAAATGTTAGGAACACAAATACGTTCGACCAACTTTATACAAATATTACCTGAGTTAACATGATAGAATCTTATGCCTAAACTAGCCATGTACCAAATTAAGATCTATATTTCTTGGGGAAATCAGTGATCTTAGTGATCTTTGTTACACAAAAAACAAATTAAACATGACAGTATCCCAAACAAAATACTACTTAAAAATTTTGAGACTCATACATTCCAAGGAATAACGACTGGAATTATTTTATCAATGCGCGCAATAACACGCAACTTATTTAATTTCAAAATGGGATACCAATTTAATCTTCTGAGTTTTTCAGACGAGTTATTTCATTTAATAAGACCTTGACTCGATAACGATTTTCAATCATGTATGCTGAGTACACATTTCTGAGATGCGTAGAGATCTATTGTATTTTGATGTACAACAACTCAAAAGGCAGTTCCCAATACACACTGGGTCGCATATCAGTATTACTCAAAAGTGGGCAATTGCAGGAGAATCTATCATAGACATGAACAATATATAATTAATAGGAAGACTCGGAACTACCAAAAAATATATCATAGGGCCAACGATCGTCTGTCTTGGAGCTCTCAAGACCAAATTCTAAGTGATTCATGATGATCCGCAATTATCGTTTAAGGAAATCTTGGCAACAATTTTTTGGCTGAAAACAAGATCAAAATATATTTTAATAGCAATATATAAGAAATTTAGAATTCACAACGACCGAACACCTCTCAAGTCAAGAGACACAACAATAATTACAACGTGAGACTAACACAAACCTGGTATAGCTTTTAATAGGGCTGCTGCTGTAATGGACCCAGAAGATTAATTAATAAAATGTAAGTCAGAAGCAAGCAATCAGACAGAAATTTAGAAGATTCTATTTATGATTTAGATGCAGCTCAGGAAAATATTAGTTTTAAAGGAAGACAGACATATTAGGTTTCGGTTGACAGAATATTTGACAAGCTGAATACTTCCGTGCCAATCCTAGTACAACAAGTATTTACCTGGTTCAAGAAGACAACGAAGCTTAATCCAGGGATAATCCTAACAATCATACCACAACATATCGTCATTTAAAGTCATGAAATAACCTAGACTATCTAACATCAGAGAAAAAGCATGAAATAAGCACATTGCTTGAGTGCTACTCTACCTTGAAGGTGATAAATTAATTTTGTATAATATAACTAAGAATAGTATCTCAATGATCAATGATATACCAGTAACTACTGAATAATATGGACTATAGCACGCGATAAAATCTAAAATTACCCGCTAAGTGCAGAACTTACTTGATAAAAGAAGTATAAAACTTCCTTATAAATGTAGTAACATTTGTCATTAAGGTGGAAAAAGCCTTATATCGATAGGTTTTTTTCTTGAAAGATAAGAAAAAGAATTTACTTCAAGGATTAAGAAGATTAAAATAAAGTTTTTTATGATTTATCCTAGTTTACTCATGCGTTTTAGTGTTAAGCACATATTTTTATATAAAAGTTAAGTGATCAATCTATAGTCTTACACATCTTGAGCTAATGTAGTAATTATGATAGTACTAACAATTATAGAAAAATAATTTAAAAAATTTAACATAAATGCTTAATTTTATGCTAATGTAAATTATATACCTTTATCCAGAATTTCTGGTGGGACAAAACAGTGAGTTGTCCTATGTGAGTCAAAATATTTAATCGAGAGACAAACAAAATCGTATTATCTCTGGTAAACTATTTTTTAAAACTCTGATTTCAGTAGTTATTTTTATTCTTCTCAACAAAATAAGCAAATAGAAGAATTTCCCCAAAAATTTCTTTCAGGGCAAATAGTTTTTAAGCTGTGAGTACAATTTTCTATAATCTAAATGTTGCTGTAGATTTCGCACATAATTTCCAACTCATGGTTTTTGTATAGGAAATCGTTAATACAGTTTTTAAATTAAAACACTAAAGATCATTGTTAAAATTAGCATTCTATACATTACTTATTAAAACAAACGACTCAAAACAATTTATATCCCTAATAAAAAAAAAATTAATAAATAATACTTACTTGAGCCAGCAAAAAAAATTATAAATTCAAGATCAAGACCAAGGAAATCAATACGTAATTTGTCTACAACAAGTTTAATAAGTATAGTATCTCGCTTGTAGAAGACTGGCCTTTCATTCTGATGGGACACCGCTGAATCCATAAGTGGGTGGGATCTTATAAAATTTAAGACAGTGTCTGGTAAAGTTTCTGTGTCATTCACGCACTGACCAGGTCTTGGTTCTGGTACTTTGTTTGTCAGAACCGGAAGCCATGCACTACTGCTAGTTGCTTGTTCCTTAAATTTGCCACGAAATGCGTCTTGAATGCTATCTATATGGAATGAGCATATCGCTGAACCAATTAATCCATTTGTTGAAGTCGTAAAAGTACCATAAAAGTGCGTGTTATCATTTGGTATTTTATATATACTCTCTGAAATCATTATTAGTTATTTAAAAACAATAAATTCCATATTAATATACACGTTACAATGCCAAATATTACAAAATTATTTAATATAAACAACAATTTTATTTCTAACTATTCCATTCATACATTATTCATAGAACGCACTATAGCTGTCTCAACAATTATTATTATGATAAGTTTATTATTCTATCGATCATTTCCAGTGGTTTTTGTAAATGAATTCATGGTTTCTCAGCCATCAAAGATCTTGAATCTTTTAATTTTCGGATTAGTCCTGAACACTGTGCAACTTAAACTAAATCACATATGCTTCGTAGTTACAGTAGAAGACATCGTCCGTAATTCTAAGCTGTTTCAATGTGAGCTACACTAGCAAAATTGAAGAAATTCGTTTTGAGCTACGTCAGTAACTAAATAATCTGCTGTACGTATGTGTATAGAAGTAAACTAGTGAGCCTTTGTCCCATATAGGCTTCACGTACAAACCTCACGTAACTATGGCCTTAAGTTTTTATAAGCTTCTGTAAAATGTTTTCTTTAAGATTTTAATTACTTTATAAAAAAACTATTGGAGAGCTCTAACCATTATTTTTATAATAAATATATTACAAA